GGCGGACGGGCCCGTGGGCCGCGCGCACCGGGGCGGCCGCCTCAGGCGTCGCCCACCGCCCGCAGGTGCGGCGCGCCCAGCACACGGTGCACAGCGAGACCAAGTACATCGAGCTGGCCGTGGTCAACGACCACCGGCTGGTGAGTGTGGCACGGGACGGCGCGGGATGGTGTGGGACAGTGCGGGACAGCATGGGGTGACACAGGGTGGCGCAGGACAGCGGGGCTGCCAGCGGCGCCCCCTCAGCCTGCCGCCCCCGCGCAGTTCCTGCAGCTGCGGCGCTCCGTGGTGCTCGCCAGCAACTTTGCCAAGTCCGTGGTGAACCTGGCCGACATGGTGAGCGGTGGCGCCCGAGGCGGCCCCAGCGCGCGGCCCCTGGCTGACCCGGCAGCCTCACGCGGCCCCGTCTCGTCCTGCACAGATCTACAAGGAGCAGCTCAACACCCGCATCGTGCTCGTGGCCATGGAGACCTGGGCCGCGGAGGACAAGATCCGCGTGGACGAGGACTCGCTGGAGACGCTGGCCCAGTTCATGAAGTACCGCAGGGAGGCCATGCCGGAGCCCAGTGACACCGTCCAGCTCTTCTCGTGAGCCACGCGCCGCGAGCGGGCCGGGCTGGGGCGGAGGCCGCCGCGGCCTCCTGCAGCTCTGCCTGCCTGGCTGCGCAGGGGCCACACGTTCCAGAGCAGCCGCAGCGGCAGCGCCTTCGTGGGGGGCGTCTGCTCGACCACGCGCGGCGGGGGCGTCAACGAGGTGGGTGCAGGACCCGCCGGGGCGCCGGGGCCGGCGGCGGCGCCGGGGGCTGAGCCGGGCTCCCCTTGGGCACAGTACGGCAACGTGGCGGCCATGGCGGTGACGCTGGCGCAGACGCTGGGGCAGAACCTGGGCATGATGTGGAACAAGCACCGCAGCTCCGCAGGTACCCGCAGGCGGCCCTGCACCTGCACCTCGACACCAAGGGGTCTCCCGGCACCGAGCAGGCCCTGGGGCCATCGGCTCCAGGCCAGCACCTCTCCTTATCCCCCGCAGGCGAGTGCCGGTGTCCGGACGTCTGGCTGGGCTGCATCATGGAGGACACAGGGTAAGAGCCGGTGAGGGGGGACACAGACTCTGGTTTTGCCCCCAAACCACTTATTAGCACCTCCTTCTCTGGGCTGTTTTGCCCCCTCCCCCGAGGGTTGGGGCTGGTTGGCTTGAGGTGCCCCAGGATGTCACCGTGTCGCCTTGCATCCCCCCCAGCTACTACCTCCCGCGCAAGTTCTCCCGCTGCAGCATCGACGAGTACAACCAGTTCCTGCAGGACGGCGGTGGCAGCTGCCTCTTCAACAAGCCCCTGAAGGTAGAGGCCGTGCAGCGGGCTGGGGGCTGCAGCGCCCTGCGCCAGGGTCCCGCAGCGTCGGGGTCCGGCCCGGATCCGAAGCCGGGCTGCAAAGCGCCAGGTGCCGCTGGGGGCCCCGGCTGCAGCTCTCGCCCTCCCTGGCCGGCAGCTCCTCGACCCGCCTGAGTGCGGCAACGGCTTCGTGGAGGCGGGCGAGGAGTGCGACTGCGGCTCGCTGGCGGTGAGCGGGGCCGGCGGCGGCCATGCGGCGTGCGGGCCGCCCCGTCCGGCCTCAGCGCCTCCCTCTCGCCCCGTCTCTGGCAGGAGTGCGCCAGGAGCGGTGGCAACTGCTGCAAGAAGTGCACGCTCACCCACGACGCCATGTGCAGCAACGGGCTGTGCTGCAAAGGCTGCAAGGTGCGGAGGGTGCCGGGGCCGGGGGGTGCTGCGCCACGCGCCTCCCCCTGCCGTATCACCCCGCCTGCCTTTCTTTTCTGGCCTGTTTCGGCTTTCTCCTGCAGTACGAGCCACGTGGTGTGTCCTGCCGCGAGGCCGTCAACGAGTGCGACATCCCCGAGACCTGCACGGGCGACTCCAGCCAGGTGAGCCGGGGCAGCGCAGCTGCACAGGGCACCTTGGGGGGCTGGCGGCGTCACCCCCTCCTCTCGGCCTGCCCCACAGTGTCCCCCCAACCTGCACAAGCTGGACGGCTACTTCTGCGAGAACGAGCAGGTGAGCGGGTTCCTCGCAGCCCGCGAGCCGGGCGGCTGCGGCGGCACCGCTCTCACCCTGCACCCTCGCGCCGCAGGGCCGGTGCTACGGCGGCCGCTGCAAAACCCGAGACCGGCAGTGCCAGGCGCTCTGGGGCCGCGGTAAGGCCCCGTGCTCCCCCCGGAGCCGGCGCTCGCCGGGCACCGTCCGGGTTAGCCCATGGCGGGGGAAGCAATACCTGAACGATGCCTTTCTCGTGTGTTTTGTTCTGGTTTGGGTTTTTTTTCCTTCGCTGCCTTTTCCGCAGGCTCAGCAGAGCGGTTCTGCTACGAGAAGCTCAACGTGGAAGGGACCGAGCGGGGCAACTGCGGGCGCGAGGGCCCGGGCTGGACGCAGTGCAACAAGCAGTGAGTGTCTGCGCCCGCCTCCGCGCGCCCCTCCGCGTGGCCCGGGGTGCCCGGTTGCCAGCGTCGCCTGCGCCTCGCAGGGACGTCCTCTGCGGCTTCCTCCTGTGCGCCAACATCAGCGGGGCGCCGCGGCTGGGCGAGCTCAGCGGCGACATCGCCACCACGACCTTCTTCCACCAAAACCGCTACGTGGACTGCAGGTGGGAGCGGGCGGCGTGGCTGGGTGCGCGGTGCCCGCCGGAGCCGCCCGCGAGCCGCCCTGCCGCCGCAGGGGCGGCCACGTGCAGCTGGTGGACGGCTCGGACCTGAGCTACGTGGAGGACGGCACGCCGTGCGGGCCCAGCATGCTGTGTCTTGACCACAAATGCCTTCCAGTGTCGGCCTTTAACTTCAGCTCCTGTCCCGGCAGCTGGGATGGGAAGATCTGCTTTGACCACGGCGTGAGTGGCAGGGGGCTGGAGGGTGCCGGGTGCCGTGGCGGGCGCTAACGCTGCCCGCCCCCATCCCAGGTCTGCAGCAACGAGGGCAAATGCATCTGCCAGCCCGAGTGGACGGGCAAGGACTGCAGCGTCTACGACCCCATCCCCGAGCCAAAGCCCACGGGCGAGACGGAGCGATACAAGGGTCTGTGCGCGGCGCCGGCGGCTCCTGCCCCGCGGTGCTCCGGCTCCCCACGGCGCTCCACCTGGCCCAGGGCCACCCCTGGGGGGGTCACGTCCCTGCTGACGCCTGTCTCTGCTCTCCYGCCCCGTCTACCACAGGTCCCAGCGGCACCAATATCATTATTGGCTCCATCGCGGGGGCCGTGCTGGTGGCTGCCATCGTCCTTGGGGGCACAGGCTGGGGATTTAAGTAAGTGACCCCGTCAGCCTCGGCCTCCTGCAGCGCCTCCCGTGCCAGGGCCTGGCCCCGGGGCCCTTCCTGGAGCTGATGCTCTCAGGGCGTCCTTGGGACGCCCCTTCCCCAGGGAAGGCTGCTCGGCCCCCTGCCTGGCGGGGCCCCGGCGGGAGCCCCTTCCTCCAGGCCCATCCCGGGGCTGCCCACAGCGCAGGGAGCCCGCGGCAGCACCCGGCGCGTCACCGCGCGGCCCCGTCGCTGCCGGGCGCGGGGCCGACACCGCTCTCTTGTCTTCCCCTCTGCCCACCCCTTCCTCCTGTGCCGCCAACCCCTCCGCGTGCCYGCAAGGAACATCCGGAAAGGAAGGTACGACCCGGCGCAGCAGGGCGTGTAGCCCCCGTCCCGTCTGCCGTCCGCCTCCACCCTCCCCTGTCGTCTCGTCCTCCCCGACGCCGGAGCCGGGACCTGCGGCCGCCGCCGGGGGCCGGTCCCCCCGGCCCGTCCCCGTGTGCTGCGCTGTGTGTCCGGCCGCCCCGTGTGCTCTGTCCGTCTCTGTGGCCCTGCGGCTCCGGGCGCTGCGGAGCCCGCGGCGCCGGGACCCCCGCGGCGCCGCCGCCGCCGCCGCCTCCCGGCTCGGCCCCCCCGCCGCCGCTGACCCCCCCYCCCTCCCCCCCCACCCACTTCTGTGTTGCAGGTCGGGGGGGTCGTGAGCGGGCGCCCCGCGCGGCCCCTCCGCCTCGGCGCCGCCCGCGCCCGGAGTCTTCCCGAGGAGGAGCGCGCCGGGACCCGCGCCCGGCCCCGGGGGCTGCGCCGGGGCGCAGTTCACGGCAACGCAACGAATGTAACGGCCCCCGCCCGGCTTCCCCCGCACGGGCGCTGGGAGCCCCCCACTCCTGAGCCGGGGTCCCCCCGCTCAGGGGCCCCGCGCGCCTCTGCATTTGGGACCCAGGCGACGTCCCCCGGAGCAGGATCCGTCCCTGTCCCCGGCTCTGTGCCCTGGGGGCCGCGTCCCCCCCCAGCCCCTGTCCCCCCGCAGCCCTTGGCGGCCCTGCCGGAGGCTGCTGCCCGCATCGCTGCCCCCGCCAGGCGGGGCGGCCTCGGGGGCCCGTGCGGGCGCCGGTGCCCGGGGCCGCGGGAGGCCGGTGCCCGGTGTCTGCCGCTGCCCCCGCCCCAGCGCAGGACGGTGCCGCCCTGTCCCCAGGGCACGTGTCCCCCGTCCCCACGGCGGGCTGGGGGTGACTCGCAGCGCAGGAGGCGGCTCCAGGGCCCCGGGGGGCCGCGGCGGCCCCGGCTGCACCCCCGAACCGCGGCGCTTCGGAGGGGACCCGGCAGCCGGTGCCCATGTCGACCGTGGGGACCCTCCGGGAGACACCGTGGGCTGCGTGGGGTGGGAGGCTGGTGACAGGCAGGGTGTCCCCAAGCCCGGCTGTCACCGGGAGCAGCGACAGCCCCCACGGGGGGGCGTGGCACCCCCGGGTGCTCCGGATGTGCCGGCCGAGCGCTCAGCGCTGCCCGCGGGCGCCGGGGCCGCTGCTCCGCGCTGCGGTGGCGCCGGGAC